ATCCAAGAAGTGGAGGTTTGCTGGCATTCCTCTGTAAAGACATGGTATTTTTTCATCAGCACACTTAGTGTGCTTTCGTTCTGGCTTCCCTGCAGGGTGATCATACCTATACTTTTCTAGGAAGCTGTTTTTCTTTCTATGCGTACACAGTAATTATACTGTTCTTCTAATTTCTTTGTAGGATTTTGATGATTTATCAGAAGCAGATATAAGCAGTGAAGATCAGCATCATAATATCAAGCCTGACCTTATGGAGGAGGAACTTAAATCCAGGTTATTTCAGCTTGCTGCTAAAATGAGTGACAAAGAAACATCTTCTGGTGAAGAACAAGAGTCAGAACCTAGAACAGACCCTGAAAACCAGAAGGAGAGTTCATCCTCAGAGGAAAATGGTGGCAGAAGTATTCAGGAAGAGTTACAGAAGGTAAGTGCTTGTGGGAGAGAAGTGGGGACAGTATTGTGAAAGTTGGAATCCAGAAAGAGAAACTTGTGGTCAGAAAGTCAAGCATAGTTGCTTAAAAAAAATAAGGTTCTTTACACTGGATCTGAGCCTGCAACTCTTGTGCAGGTGAACCTTCAGTCAAGGTGTGAGTTTCTCCGTGTCAGCCTACAGCATCGATTCAAAGCACTGAACTTAGCTTGTGTAATAAACCTGTTAAGTGACTGGTATTAATGGAGCTATGTCAGTTTATACTGACTGAGAATTGGCTTATATAGGTTTTATTTAAAACCACATCCAGTTCTTCTTTTTGATACCTTGCTAACCAGCTGTTTTAAGTGGTTTTTATGGTCCTTTTTTTTGCTTCTCTCTTTAGAGTATCATGTAGTTCATTCTGATGTCATAGATTGTTCTTTGACTCACCATTTGAATATAAAGCTTCTTTAAAGCTTTCCAACCCTGTTACTCTGTCAGCTAATAGGCCTCTGTGAGTACTAACATATTGTAATGAAATTCATTGTCAGTTCTGATAAGGTATGACATCCTCTTTCTGTGCCATTTCACCCTTACATTGAGATACTTGATTTCAGTGTTGCTCCACAGGACTTACCACCTGCTCTCTTCCTTTCCTACCTCTGAATTTCAATTCAGATTATGTGGTGTGCTTGAATCTGGTGCTGTAGAAGCCCAGCACTGCCCCTTGCAGTCAAGTAATCATCCCTTAGACCCACTTAGTCTCATTCTTGTCTGCTGTGTGACTTGATTCACCTCCTGGGGGCTTGTCTGCATAGCAGCTTGGCTTTGGCAGGGAGTGTGGACAGCTCTTTAAAGGAAATCTACTCTTCATCATTTGGAAGGTGTTTTCTTCAAACTGTATAAAGATTAATACACTGGGAGGTGGAAGCAGGATCAAGTGACCCAGGAGGACAGTAGAGATGCTGTCCAAGTGTCAGGAAAGCCAGTGCCCACCTGGAGTTGAATGTGAGGAGGGACATGAAGGGAAATAAGAAAGGCTTCTACAAGTATATCAGGAGCAAAAGGCAGATAAGGGAATGTGGGGCTCACCGCTGCAATGACCTGGTGACACAGAACGTGGAAAAGGCTGTTTCACAACATTGTTTTCACATCAGTTTACAGGCAAGATTTGCCCTCAAGAATCCCAAGCACCTGAGACCTATAGGAAAGTTTGAAGCAGTGAAGAAGGCTTCCTCCTTTTCTGTATGCACTATGGTGGACACTTGTGGCCCCTGCACAGTTCGGGCCTGGAGCAAGCAGTCCAGCTCCCTCTCTCAGCTCCATACTGAAGTGAATCCAGTTAAGGCCACAGAGTTGATTAAAAGATTGGGGCATCTGAGGAGAGGCTGTGAGAACTGGAGTTGTCTAGCCTAGAGAAGAGAAGGCTCAGGGAGAATCTCTTCAATGTGTATAAATACCTGATGGGGGGGATGAGGGAGGGGGGTTGAGGTTGGTAATAAAGAAGTGAGAACCAGACTCTTCTCACCCATGGCCACTGACAAGACAAGAAACAGTGGGCAGAAACTGAGATACATGAAGTTTCATCTAAACATGAAAAGGTTTTTTACTTGAGGGTGGACAAATGCTGGCATAGGTTTCCTAGAGAGATTGTAGAGTCTACGTCCTTGGAGGTAATCAGAATTTCACTGGACACAGCCCTGGGCAACCTGATTTTGTTGACCCTGTTTTGAACAGAAGGGTTGGACTAAGCAATCTCCAGAGGTTTGTTTCCAAACTTACGTATTCTGTGACTTTCTGATTCTGAGTTATTTAGCCATGGACTACACAGCAGTGTAAGTACCTTTGTCATCATGTATGCAAATACCTCCAGGACGTGCACACAACCTTCTTAAGGAAAGGAAAGAAAAGCTTTGTTGCCAGTGCTTGTTAACAGCATTCAATTCAGCAGGTATATATATAGGCTAGGTTGGGTATTATATGATGCCATTAATGTCCAAAATTAGAGGCTGTAAATAGGACATTCACCTATGTGGTGAACTGAGCACAGAAAATGGAAAACGTATGTTTTGGGGTGTACTTATTCATCTGCATGCATCTACAAAGTAAATCAGTTGGTTTTCCTCCTTTGATTTTATTATTTCTTTAAAATTTGTATGTCAGTTATTTTAAATAAAGCAAAGACTAATATTTTCTTTTCCTCAGTAGAATTTTCTTAAGTTTAAAAGGAATAAGAGACATATACTGTGTACAGCATGTTTGGAATTCCTAATTCTTTATTGGTTTGGGCTAGAAAAAAAGTCTTAGTCATTCCTGGTCACAATATATATTCTTTCTGTCTATAATAAAGAAACCAAAATATCCCAATACTATTCATGGTCATGACTTCAATGGAATTGATAGCAGAACTTCCTCCAGCTTTAGAGAAATAAGGAGGCTGCTTTCATTCTTATTCTTGGCAGCTGTCCTTAAAAGTGATTTAAAATCTTCTGCTGCGTGCCTTCTGTTTGGAAAGGAGGCTGAGCAGCATCTTACAATGAAATACTGAAGATGACAGTGCGTAATACCAGTTGTGGCTGTGGTACCCTAAAACATGACGACATAGCTGAACTCATAAAACATGCAATAACTTCAGATGAGTCAATGGCAGGTCTCAATGGAGACAAGCATAGAAAATGTATTTTCAGGTTACCAGTAATTTTAGATGCCTTAAAAGCCACATGTCCCAGTATGCTGTCTCCTTAAGAAGAGTGATTTTTGGAGAATGCCCATGTAGGGAATTAGAGATCTTTCAGACTGGCACTTAACATTCTTGGCCAGAGACCCAGACTTCTGACCTGGCTTTCAAATTAGGTGTAGAGAAGCACTAATTCTGGACCATTAAAATGAGAGCTCAAATGCTTACAATCTGCCTTGAGCTCCTGAACACAAATCAAATACTGTATTTTAGCCATGCTGCTTGTCTTTGTTAGCCTTCAGTCTTCTGTTCTCACAAGGTTATTCTGGAACAGATTAGGAACCTTAAGGAATTTCTAGTTATAGGGTATCTGACCATAGAATAAGATTTCAAAATCTGTGTATTGCTTATTGAATCACTGGAAATTAAATACCTGGTGTTCCTGAAAATGAGTCTTTCATTTGTCTGCACCTTTAAACATCTGGTCTTCTGTTTTTAGTGGAAGCTGAGAATCTCACATGTTGAACTGATCCTTTGAAAAAGGTATTTAGTGTAGAAAGATCTGAAGCAATGGCAAGAACTGGCACTTCTTGAGTGGGGAGTTAGCTGAAGTTGGGCATTTGCAGGTTCTCAGTTCTCACTTCAAACTGAGCTTTTGAATTGTATGTCTGCCTTTAAGATACAAGCTTGGAAATGCTGACCTTTGAGTTTGTTATTTAATTCATGTGGGATACTTGAGGATTGAGGTGGGTATTCATTAACACCAGTTAATTTTATTCCTTAGACTTAAACCTGCTTAGACCCTCAGCACAACATTTCATTTCAGCATTTCTAACTTCATGATTGCCTAAAATGTCTTCCTGGAGATTTACAGCTCTCTAAAGCAAACATAACCTAGAGCAGACTTGTTTTTATAGATGACATGTGCTTACTAAGCTGAAGAAGTAGTTCATGGTCTTTGGAGATATGCAGACCCGTGAAAAGCCTGCTTGTCTCCATTGTGCAGTGAAGGGCCATGGAGTCCTCTATGCTCAGGGCAGAGTTAGCCTCCAGCCCCTCTAGACTTCAGGGGTGAACTAGCCAAAAATCACATTGTCCAACTGTTGCGTTAGTGAAATATCTTGTGTTGTGGGTTGTTTTTGGCTTCACCCCTTCAAACCCTAACCAAATACCTAAAAAAAAAAGCAAAAAGTAAATTCCCTTGGAAGTATCTTAATGACACTGATCCTGAGAGTGGCAAGCATGATAAATTTATTTAGTTCTTGCTCTCCCCGATCCTCTCTCCTCTAATGCTTTCAAGAAGATAGGCTGGGTGTACATCTCATGGTGTAACCTAGAATTACATTCTAGAAGGCAGTTTCAGGAGTACCTAATGCAGACTGCATTTTGAATGTGACCACTAAAGCCAGAATAGCCCTTGCTATTTTTGCAGATTGTCCCACACAGCATAGAACCCAAAATAGTTGTTAAAATCTTTCTCGTGTTTCTCTTTTTGTCTCCTCCTACTCCGTACTCCTCCTTGCTTAAGGTATGCAAAAGTTAATCTCAAAGTAGTAACACTGAGTTTCTCTCCTGTTTGTATTAACTTGTGCTGCATTTACTTCTACTCTGAGACTCTTACAACCAAGGCTTAGTAACTTCGTTTAAATCCTGCTGATTTCTGTTGACATTATTACATGACTAGACACACAATAGCTCTTTTCTGAATGACAACCTCTAAGTAAGTTTGTTAAGTAGTACGGTGGGATCCCGTTCCCTAAGTTGACATATGAATAACAGCAAAAATATTCGTTCCATTAAATATTTATGCTTTCATTCTTTGGAAACGTTTTGTTCATCTAAGGTGTTTCAAAGTTCCTAAAGGAGCCATAACCCTGTGGCTCACTTAATCAAGAAAAAGTGTAGTAGCTTTACTGCATTGCTGCCACTATGTTAAGAAAGCTAAACAGTGTAATACAAAGACATCTTCCTGGCTTAACAACTCAGAAGATATTTGTGTGTCTGTTGTCCCATATTTCTGTATGCAATATGCTCAGAATAATTCGTGTCTTTTGGTGGATCATGGCTTTTATTATGATGTTGATTATCTGGACAGTCTCCCAAAGCCCAAGATTGAAAACTGAGTGTGGGCAGCGTGGTAAAAAGTGATCTTTAAAATGTACGTACTGCACATAATCTATGCACAGGAGTGGGATGACAGCAGAGAAAAAAAGATTTTGGTTAAGGAAGTTGAAACAGTGGCTTTTTCTTCTAAAAGAGGTGTGAGACTTTAATCTTCACATTGGCCTAATGGATCCAAAGTTTTAAGTTCTCAATTCAACAAAGCAGTCAAGTA